ATCGATGTGTAATCGATCTAAGAGAATTTCCATATCAAATAAGTATAAATATCAATCTTCTTAGTTGAATAAAAAATCGCGATTTATAAGTGTAAGAATAAAATAATTTTTATTTTTGGTTGAAATTCAGTATTGTTTTTGAAATAAAAGCTTATCCAATTTTTAAAATAAATTAAATAAGGAAACTCTAATTTTACATATGAATAAACTTATATATGTCATTCTGAGTAAAAATCTGGTCTTCAAACGTTTTAAATGTTAAATTAAATGAGGAAATAATTTTTTCTTCTAATAAAATTAACACACCAATCTTTGAACAAGTCTTTACTTCCAAAGTATTGTAAATGATCAAATGACGAGTAAATAAGTTCGATCTCTAAATATTCTGAATGAACTAAGAGTTCGATCACGAGGTATTCCAAGTCGTAGATTAGCTGAGAAGGAAATAATGTGCATTTATGAATACACATTTATTCAAGGTAGATATCGATTTTTCAGCGAAATGCAGTTCGTTCTAAACGTTTTGAATTACAAGTTTAATGAAAGGAAAAAGAAAAATAATAATTTTCATTCGTGAATAATGGTATCTATATACGATCGAAACAAAGTTCGATCTCTAACTAATCCAAGTGAGAAGAAAATAAACTTTTCTTTTGCAGAGAAAGCATTTGGTGCAACTTTTCATCGAGTTCCACTCTGTTGCATATTACTCGGAAATCGTCGTATTTCGGTGTATATATAGTTACGGTAGTCGCCCCGTAACCGGTTATTTTCACGCCATGGAAGTAGCAATCGGCCGATCCCTGATTATCGCTATTTACGACTAACATATTACTCGTTCCACCGTTGCGACACTGTAATTACCAGCCACGACTGCGTCATTAGGAAACAACATCGTTTATCATATCTGTTCTCCTAAAACGAAAGATTCGATACGACAAGACGGAACTGCGAGAAAAAGAAAAAATAAATACGTTTCACGCGCTTTAGAGATAATTTCAAAACGAACGATCGAAAAACATCGTACCATGATAAATAATTGGAACGTCAATTAACTCACTCCTACAAGTTTTCACACAGGCTGATCCCCGTGTGCGCATACACGGAGATCTTATTTGCGGAATAGAATTCGGATTTCGCAAGGAAAAAATATTGTCGTCGATCTCTCTCGACTAATGGGCAGGTCGCCTGCTGTGCTGTTTTATGGGACAATGCGAAGTGCCAGACACACGTGTCCGTTTCTGTCGACGAGCACGATGACGCCGCACGACGCGCGTTCCTCGTCTCTTCGGCTTCCATCTGCCATGAACTGCTGAATCCTTTCGTTGAGATCGAGCCGATAAAAAAAAAAAACCTCGACGATCGTGTTGCGCTTATTCGAAATGATCTCGTGAGCTTCTCACGGAAACGACGAATTCGGTTACGTTGAACGCTTCTTCCGCAAGTATCCTATCGTTGATAGCGCGGCACAGCTTCTTCACAGGAATTTTAGAGGAGTGTACTTTCGAAGTACTTGAGAGTGCTTGCGACGAAAATGAGAAACCAAGTCGTCAAGTGTTTTAGCAAATTCTTCGGAGTCGGTCGACACACCGAGGATGAATGTATTACACGATCACGATGCTTCATCGTCTAGTAAGATATTCCTTAAGTAGATTTTTAATTAAACCATGTAAGCGGAGATAGCGAGGAGCGATGCAAAACTGGAATCCAAATATTATGCATTCGAAATCCCAGCAACATTGATGCCATGTGTGGATAAATAGTTGTTTCATTGTGTCGGTGTCGCATTATGTTGGAAAATTTCTATCTATAACGCTAGGAAGTACATCTTCTCTAATTAGCATGATAATCTTGTCATAATATTCTTCCAGCAAAGTTTAAATGAATGATATCAGAGATGGCAAAACGAAGCTGGAATTCGAATATTGTTTATTCGAAATTCATGTCGATGCGATAAATAACACAGTTCGGTGTCGTAACGATTCAGCTAATAGTTTATATGTATTCCCCTTAAAAGTTTAAATAATATACCTAAATAATGATACATATAGTAAAGTTGCATAAAGCTGGAATTCAGATACGTGTGAATGAACAATTGATTCATTTCAATCAATACATCTAACCCAATATCTAACGCTAAAAAAATATGTGATAAATCGTGTGATAATTAATTTAACATCAATAATAATATAATCGCAAATCTGGATTATGATTAGCTTTGTTGCGTTTATATATACCTGCGTATTATTACAAAAACACGCAGTAAATTACCTTTATTATATTATTGTATAAAATATAATTAAGATTTTTCTTTTTTTATATCTTTTTTAATCTCGCGTTTAGCAAGATGTCAAGCGTAAGATTGCAAAAAGAGCGCTTTATAACAATTCGCGTGTCTGAAATTGTGCTTTATATGGACAAATATTATTCTCCCAGAACAGAATATTTATTCAACACAGTAGAATTCGATTAACATCTCGTGATGTTGTCAGGCAGTTTCGCGATATGTAGAAAATTTGCAGATAGAGAGAGTTGTGTACGGATACGAGCTGCCGCGACTCACGTTCAGTTCGAACACCCCATAAAGGGATCACGTAAAGCGTAGGCGAAACATCGCACTACTACGTCGTATCGGCCAATGAAATATAACAATTGCAGCCGCCGTTTTCCGTCCAAACAATCTGAACTTGGAGTATCAACGCCGTCCCTCACCAGTGATTACTCCTAATCATTTAGATATAAAGATTTCTTTGGATTTCCCCTCGTCGACAGGCCAGGATCATAATTATACTGCTTGTTAGTCACGCAATTAAATTCCATTACGGAGAGAGATTATTGCACGGTGAAAGAAAAATGCCACTCGGTTGGCACTAGCCACAAAAAAAATAAAAAGAAAACGTAGATATTTTTTTTATTTTTCGGCTGTGATACGTGTCTGTGCCTGAGGTGCGTGTGAGTGAAAGAGACCAAAAAAATTGGTCTATGTGTCGTCCACCTGAAATGCATTATGCACAGTAAAAAAGCGTTCGCAACGATGGAAGCAAGTCGATAAATCGTAGCTGCACTAATACATTTTAGTTATGTGTTGTTGCGCTTCCTCGCCGCATTGCAGGTACATATATATATGTACATATATTGTAATCGATCTATAATAAAATATTGCACAGAAATAAAAGCGTTACCGTATGTACGATAGTTAAGAGCATCCACAAAGATCTGTGCAATGAAACGTGTCTTTCACGAGAAAGGATCATTTCATCGTTTACGAGTAAATTGATTCCTATTTCAATCCTTCCATTTGGAAATATTAATAATATCGATTATGATAATAGTGATTATTCACTTTAATTTGATAATAATAATTCCACTTGTCCTTATCTCTCTCTCTCTCTCTTTTATATACGCACAAAATATTATCGAGATAGAAACATATAGAAAAATGCTGTAGACTGAAAATTTTGTCGCATGTTTCCACACATACAGTGTGCCTAAGATAACTTTCTACAAGAACTTTTTCTAGCGCGAAAGTTTACTTAGTTTAAACTTTTTTATTGGATCACGAATATAGATATTATTAATTGATTTCTTTTTTTCGCATTTCAAGGTTTTGTAATATTTATAATAATATTATATTATCAATATTACATAATTATAATAATTATATAATATTTATAATTTTTGATATTTCTAATATTTCTCGCTTATTTTTTATTTCACGCGCATGTTTGTTAAATAAGTCTTAGCGCTTTGCGTCCCAATGGAATATACAAAGAGACTATTAACATCAAGGACGATTCGACGATTAATCTAACGCACCGTGCAATCTTGATTCCGAGCTCCAAAAATCATGTTGCAAAACTGCATTTCGCCGCAAGTAAGAATAAATTAAATATATTCCACTTGGGAGCTACACCTTTCCAGATTTTAAAATAAAACTTCTCTCTGCCTCTATCTTAAATTTCAAGATTTTCATTGAAAAAATAGTAAGTGATAGGACTAGTTTAGTGATGGACTTTTGATAAAACTGTAGAATCCATATTTTCTTAGCAAAGAAAATTGATGGAAAAATATTATTTACTTTTATCGTGCTTAATTTAATATTAATCTAAAATTTTGTTTAAATATTCTACAGTTTTTATAATTCAAAATGCTCGGCATCTGCTATTTTGATATAAAATTAATTTCTTTTGAGAAAAAGAAAGGAACTATACATTAATTATCATTGCATAGAGCAATGACAGATCAAATTAAAACTTACCTTTCTTTTTTTTTTATCAATTAAAAAAGTTATTTAATAATTTCTTTAAAATATAATAAAGTTAAAACTGTTGTGTATATAAAATATAACAAATATCCAAGTGAAAATAGCTCATTACTATTTACATAAATATGATTCATTAAAGATAGCATATATAAAAGCATAAAAAAGATACAAATTAGCACAATAAAACTTATTACAAATATATATTAGTCAATTTTTTTAAGGTTAATCTCAATCTGGAATAAAGGATACCTTTAACAGGTTTTTTCTCATATTTCCCTTAGGAAGTAACATTATATAATTTAATGAGAAATTATATATGATTTTATTCACAGTAGAAAAAGCTACATTGTCCTGCCTAACTTTTTTTATTTAATTTAAGTAAAGTCAAACAGAACCAGAGATAAAGTCCGTGCGGTTCATATCTTATGGAGGACGCATGAAGAGATGTTTTATAATGCAAATCTATTTCGTTTGCATCAATGTTTTTATAAATTTCTTTATTTTTCTAAATTCGGGTTTATAAACTACTTACCGTTAAATATAAGATTCTGAATATATATCATAGAAAAATCATAATATAGAGAAAATATGAATATATAAAGATACATAAATAAAGATTCTTCACAAAACGCTCAGAAACACGACAGACAATTAAATTTGTCTGTATAATAGAATCACAATAATTTTTCCTCCAAAATTATGAACTAATTTTATTACGTGATTTATAGAGCATTACCTTTTAGATCTTAGACACTTCAGAAACTTCTTTCTTCTTTACTCTGTTCTCTCTCTCTCTCTCTCTCTCTCTTACTTTCTCTTTCTCTCTCTCTCTCTCTCTCTCTCAGCTAAAATGTACGACGAGAGTTAAGAGGCGATTGAGAACAAAGATGACCGAGCAGTGAACCAAGGAGGACACTTCATCAGTGATGGAGAACAATGAAATGTGGGAGCAGAAAAGTTAGCTGCACACCATTGTATAAAATCCCTTGAGCAGGCCGAATCTGTTCTTGACATTTAACACACACTGTCTAAGACCCTGCAACATACATCAAGTTCCCTCTCACTGTACCTAAATAATTTTCCACCGATTACAAATTGCATCCATATTCAACTTCTTATCCTCGACAGTTATTATCTGCCAAATTACAAGTTTGAATATATACTTTACGCAAATATCTCCCACACAATGACAGTATTTGCTTTTAGTTGCAGATAATGCTCTGACAAACTTGCAGATTTTTATCTAATAACAAACTGATAAAAACCTTTACGATTATTTGTCTCAGGTTTTAGTTTTCAAAATTAACATACATATCCAAATTAAATTGTCTTTGATATTTTGCACAAGTTTTCTCTTACATCTGTTTATTTTCAAGTATAATTTATTAAAGTTTTGCGATTTTCAATATTATCTCTGTAATTAAGTGTTGTATGTACTCATCAAAATACCTGCGACTGAAAGGAAATGCAGTAGTTGTGAAACAATGACATTAAATCATATTTCTTTTGGAAAAGATTTTTAATTAATTATAAGCGAAGCCTTCTCTCTATCATATTCTACAAGTACGTATTACGATTAAGATTACACAGACAACTCCAAAAAGTAAATATTATTTATATATTTCATATATAATAACTCCAAAATGTGTAAATATATATATACATATTTAAGAACGGAAAGAGAGTTAAACAGAAATTTATTAATATTAAGCGCCAACACATGACCAGAATCTGAATGAAGACCCTGCGTGCTTGAGCGAGAGGTAAAGATAACTTTCACAACATAAATACTTATCTATCTTTAAAATAGTATTACATTTTATCTTTCCTTTCTCTCAATTTTTTCCAATTATTTTCTTTACTATTGAAAATAGGTTATATTCGAGCCTTTGTCGATCCGTCGATTTTTTAAATCGTATCCTAGTGCATCGATGCCAGAAATCGATAAAAATTCAGAAATTATTACCTCAGTTGAATTCTTACACATACTTTCGTAACTTTTCAGGCTTATTTTTTAATACCGTCTGCATCGAACTCGGGAAAGGCTCGAAATTTTTTAAGACTCTCCACGTGGTCTCTATAAATACACTGCACCATTTTTCACGCACTTTGTAAGGAAGAATGGAGCAATTAATGCCCGAAATATCTCTCCATATTACACGGTTGATTTTATTCCATGCTCTTACCTCTCGCTCAACGTGTATGCGTGTGTGTAAACATTGTAAATGTGCGCGAGTAATAAAATTAAGCAACGATAAACAAATATAACACGTGCGAAATTTCCCGATTTCAATAAAAATTCGCGATGGGCTCGGTCTTTATTTACGGAAATTAATATATATTAATAATAATTTAATGCGTCACACTGTGAATGTCGAATGTCCCGTAACGGAAAAGTGAAATCGCAAAATTTCGAGGATTCTAATACGAACATGTGCACAGAACTTTTTTTTTTTTTTTTTTGAAAAACACGCGATAACTTCGACGTCTGTTTTGCGTCGCGTTACCCAATAATCCGCCATTGTCGATGACGCGGGTTTCGGGCGAGATTATCGGGCAAGGATGAAATAATCGGCGCACACGCCGGGATATTCTATTCGACTCACCGAGATGGTTACGCGGAAGTGAAGCGGGTTTCATGAAGGAGGACGCCGGCTACAAATGACGAAAACAATTTTGTGGACGCGACGAATTGCGAACGAATCCCGCGCTTCGATGAATCCGTGGACCGTGGAAGAAGAGTGCGTCGTAATGGCTGTTCGCGCCGTGCGCTTGGTCGTGCGAGCCCCGTGACGTAAGCGGAGCGAGCCGAACGTAGCCGAACGGTTGTTCGGGCGCGATCGGCGCGTGTCGGTGACGTCACGCGTGCGCTCGGCGATCAGCCGGGCCCGCCCGAACTGTCACGAGCGCCTCGGTGTTGTTTCTATGGTTGCGTTATCGTACACATCTCCGTGCGTTCTGCGTCGATCGACGAAGAGGTTAGGTCAGTTTCTCCGGCGGTATCGCTCGAACGTTGTGCTTTCCGTAAGTTAAAAAGGTTAGGTTTGTTCCTTTTAGCTGAACTTTTTTTTTTTATTTCTCGCTTTTCCTTTCTCTCTCTCGTACATTTAAATATATAGCTATATCATTCTATCCGTTCTAATTCAGCCGAAAGGAACAAACTCCATTGGTTAACGCACCGGCGATACTCGCGTCCATTGTTGTGGGTGATCATTTGGAGTTTTGGAGCGGCATAGAACGAAAATGGCGATGGCGACGAATCAAGTCAAGGGCAGCGGATGGCCACGACGAGCGAGCAACAGTTCGTTCGAGGGGAAAGTCGTGCAGAATCAATCGGTCACCATAAACAGGACTGTAAATTTGTAAGTGGCCACATAATACACGACGTTACCTTACACGATATTTTTAGAATTGATATGTCTAAACTGCCTCTTTCCTCTGTAGGACCGGTCAATAGAACGCGATTATAAGCCATTTATAACGCTAATTAAAATTATGCTCTCTTTTAAAACCATTTCGTTGTATTTTGCGCAATGAATAATCGCGAAGCGGCTATTTGTTTTTTTTTTTTTTTTTAAATCGAGATCCCAAGATTTTCAGCAATTCGTGTCCAATATTTTTATATGCGAGTCTATGCATTTTATTTATTACTGTATAAATGTATTATGAATTAATAAAGAGAGAGAATGTTGAGGGACTTGCGAGATTTACATAAATAATTGTATTATATATACAATTTGTTTAAAATTCTCAAATTTTGAGGTTCATAGTACATGTGTCTTACTCGCAAAAGCTATTATTTGAAATGTATCAATATCTGATTCATACTCAACATCAAGTTTTATTTCTTTTTACAATGTTTGTAAACTAAATCTACTTGTGCAACTATTGTCCTTGATCTATCTCTTGCATCCATAATATGAATTGATTATTGGTTCTTAATATGCGTGCGATAATAAAAGAAATTTCTATTGTGTCTACTTTTGGTTTCGATTGTTAAAACGCAGAATATTTTAAGATCTTGTGCACTATAAATTGAATGAAGTTGTGACAAAACTCTTTTCTAAGTTTGTATTTACAATTAGTGATGCCCACACAACGCTAGGAAAATCCCATATATACTTTCCCCATTATTTCACTCTTGCATTCTATACTTTATGTAAAATATGATATATCTATATGTATTATATGTATATGTGTATGTACTACCTTGTGTGAGGTAGTTTATATCTATATATGTATATATCTAGATTTATTTTATATTTTAAGATAGTACGTATAATGTATATATTGTGATTATTTTGGCTAATTTGTTATAAGAGGGTAATGAGAGAAGAAGTTACTTAAACACAATTGTATATGAGATTTATGTAACATTATAAATGACACATCATCTAAATGATCATTTGTGTTAAGTGATTATATGTGCATCTATAATGCTACAATTGCAATGGTTTAAGTCATATTAACAAAAAAAAATTGTTATGGAATATATATTTACAAATATATATATCAATGTATTTCAGTAACATGCAGAGAAAGTTTTGCATACATTTTTATTAAATATTAATAGCTAATCTTTGATTTAGTCTCTTTCTATCATCATAAAAACTTTCATTTTATTATCTTTTTTAAACCTCACATGCAATATATCATTACAATCATCACATAACAAAAATATTCTATAAATTTTATATATTAGGTACGTTTAACTGAACACACACACATACACATAGACTCAAAATTTTATGGAACAATAACTTTAGTTCACGTTTTTCAGTTGAACGTACCATATATATATATAAGGAGAAATTTGAAAAAATAATTAATAAATTATATAGAAACAGATAATTTCACAAAATAATTACAAGACAAGTAAAAGTGAAAAAAACTTTAGAAATCTAAGAATATAACAGAGTATCAATTAATATTCATCAATTATTGATTATTATTTAAAAAATACTTGTGGAAATGTGGTTGTAATGATACAAGAAGTTATATTTGTTGTATAATTAATTTGATTGTACCAAATGTAAAAGTGAACCCGAATTTTAAGTACATCAATGTGTAAAAATGTTTTATATATGCGTATGTAAAGATTTAACATAAAGCGAAAATTTTATGACGAATAAACTGCTATTATATTCATATGAAATGTAAATATTATACATGTATATTATACATTGCAATATTAGTATTTCGCTCTATGTTTTATAATTATGTTTAAATTGTAGCATAAGTCAGGGAATCGGAAATTATTATTAAATATGTAAAGGAAAAAGTAAAGTAAAAATTAAAAATTTATTTGTATTAAAATTCTGAGTTAAGAATATTTTATTACAAAATTTTGCATATCTGAGATGCAAAGTATGTTTATTAACAAAAATATATTTGAAATCAAAATTAGAAAAAACAAGCATTAATTAAATCAATTAAATATTCTATTTGATAATAATAAAGGCTCTTTTTGATAATTCAAGTGACTTTTTCTATAACTTAAATGTCTATATTCTATATCTGTTGCTTACAATTACAAAATAGTATAAATATTATTTACATTAAAATATGAAAATTAATACTGAAAGTAGAAAGAAAACTTATTTAAATTGTTACATTGTACTTATATAGTTTTGATAAATAATTGAATATTGTAATACCGCATCAAGTTGTATTTGAAGAAACTGGGTAATTACCGATGGATTAAGTTAAACATACAAGAGCCTAACAAAAAAATACAACTCATTTATCATAGATATCCTTTGACAAACTATACATTTGGAACAAAAGAGCCACTCTTCGAGAAAGATCCGTCAGTACCAGCGAGATTTCAGCGTATGAGAGATGAATTCGACAAAATCGGCATGCGGAGAAGCGTAGAAGGCGTCTTACTGGTACATGAGCATGGATTGCCACACGTTCTCCTTCTGCAACTTGGCACAACATTCTTCAAATTGTAAGTTACAAGAATATTGCATAAAATTATATAATGCATGGCAATTAAATTGCACAAATGTGGAAGCATACATTTTGAAACAAATAAAGTAAAACTAAAATATTTTTTAACATACATAAAAAGAAAATATATATACTTTTATATTTATTTAATTTTTCTATTTATTCCCTGTCAAAATATATATTTACATAAATATTCACAACTTAGTGAATTTAAAATGTATGTCTTTTCTTGTTGTTCCAGGCCTGGCGGAGAACTCAATGCAGGAGAAGATGAGGTAGAGGGCCTAAAACGGCTCCTTACAGAGGTAACAGTTAGCACGACGCCTTACGCTGCCTTACAGGCTGGCTAGGAGTGGCACTTTTATATCGTTAGATTGTAACAATGTCTTTATAAATATCATCATTATTGTATAAATCTTGCAACCGTTTGTAGAACTTATGTAACCGGGCCTGTAGCTCCATATGCGGTCTTGTTCTTTTATTCTTATAATATTTTGTACTTTTAGCGTGCTGCATGCCCGGACACTTTAATGTTGATAATTCATGAAAAGATCGCTCGTTATTTATTGTATCTGGTTGGCTAAGAACATTGTTCTTATTCTCATTGTGTATGTGTTAGCACAGAGAAACAGAGAAGAGACAAAAATAGAAGAATGTAAAATAGTGACAAGAAGACTGTATATACAAGTGACGCAAATGTTTTTCTTAAAATTTGTAAGCTATAAGAAAATTGATCATATATCAAAGAATTCAGAATCTCATTGCGAGAAAAAATCGGCACAATATGTAAAAGGATTTATTACAGATTTATTCGCAATTGTCAAATTGTAAGACAATAAACTTGAGATTTGTAATCTCTGCCATAGTCTTGACCAAAACTACTAGTATATGAGCAACAATTGTTTCGTTTAATTAAGTATTCATATATAAATACCATAGGTGAAAAGAAATGTACGTGTATTTTTGAGAAATACCAATATCAACTTTTGATTTCAAAATAAATTTATTACATATTAGTCGTCGATAAACTTGAAGATTGTTAGAATCGATACTATTAAGTGTACTCGCCGTAAATGTCTCGAAATGTAATAAAATGTATGCAACCATGTTCTTAGTGGACTGACCGAAGAAGAATGTATTTTATCTCATAGTTTATTCGAAATTCAGTAAAGCACAGTATCAGACGAAAAATGGGATTGATTTCTAGACTTTTGGACGGCAGGATGGAGTGAAGCAGGAATGGGTTATAGAAG